AATCCGTGCGGGAATACAACGATTCCAGATGCGAATCCATAGAACGTAGTATACAGCATAAAAAGCCCTATATTTCTACAAATAAAGAATCTCTTTGACAGACCCGAAAGTACATTGAATTGTAAATTATCTGGCTAGAGAACTAACTTGCTTACATTTTGACAGTCCACTTTTTATTTCACTAAAAACCATGACAATCCACAATCACTGTCACATTCAGACTTATATTAATCTTTCGTCCACTCCTAGGGAGAGGGACGCATCACTCTACTAGATCGTCTCTACCAGTTAGCAGTAAATGATTCTACTAGCAGTTTACAAGAGGAAATGTAGCTAGTCAATACTGATATCGAATTAGATATTCTCAAGGTCTCACCAAAGATACTTTCAATTCTGAAATGTGAAATGGCACTGTGTGTTTAATCATATATATTAATATGTAATTCTGAAGATGAAGAACGTCGACCGGAACAGGCTAGATTCAGGAGAAACAAGCCATACAACACTGCAGATCGTCATTGGACACAGCTTGGAATGGCAGTCAGCTCTCTATCTCAAATTCATCGACTTTGAAAAGGCCTTTGATATCGTCGATCGAGAGGTGAATTGGCAACTACTTCACTACTACTGGGTGCCACCGACAATTATATACTTCATTCAACAGTTGTACGATAATGCTGCATATCAAGTAATTCACAACGAGAAACTCACCGTATCCTCCTAAGTGAAGATTGGAGAAAGACAAGCTGGCTGCCTACTATCTCCAATGATTTTCCTGATTGTGGTAGACTGGGTGATGCGACAGAAGGCAAGCAGCGAGGAGACGGGCATAAAATGGACCCACACCAGAAACTTCGATGATCTGGATTTCACCGATGATACATGTTTGATTTCCGAAAACTGGAAGATATGCAAGTGAAAAGCAACAAGTTGACAGAAGAAGCATTCAGAGATGATAAGACTTCAGGTGAGCATAGACAAAACAGAGGTGATAAAGATACTTGGCCAACAGCAACAACAACAGGCAACCGTCAGCCAACAGAAATGGGAAGAACCTGAAAGAAAGAACCTCCTTCACCTACCGACCAAGGAAGCATCGTCTCAACTACAAGCGAACGGAAATGATGAGGATATCAAAGCGAGGATCGGGAAAGCAAGGCAAGCTTTCACTACTATAAAATCTTTGTGGAAATCAACACTCAGCGCTAAGCATGAAAAAATAAGATCCGTATTTTCAACTCCAGTGTGAAGCCAGTGCTACTTACTAAACGGATCAGAGGCTTTGGGCCGCGTCACGAAAGGCATTTCGAACAAACTACATCAACAAACCTCATCAACAGCTGTCTTCGCTCAATACTCAATATCAGATGGCCGACCAGAAAAGATCAGCAACAGGGATCGAACCAACCTGGAACCGATTGTGCAGCAAATATGCAGGAAGAAATGGAGTTGGATTGGCTATACTCTAAGAAAACAAACCATCAAGTGACATTACAAGACAGGCTTTCGAGTGGAGCTCGAATGGGAAGCGGCGAGTTGGTCATCAGTGCAAGAGTGACATGGAAGAGGAGATGATGTGAAGAGGAGATAAAAACATGTGGGCAGACGTGGCGTCAGATGAAAACGTTGGAGGAGAATCGAACGCAATGGAGGGTTCCGGCTGAAGCCCTATTTTCCTCTAGGAACTAAAGGAAGCAATAATAGTAATCATGCGATAGGATGAAGGGCGCCTATCATTTTGTGATATCGCTTAAGGAAATCAGCTTAGTTGCCTTCAGAAAACGTTTTTATTGTTATTCAGTGACTACCTTACCATTTACTGCTTGCTAACCCTGGGAATGTAACGTATTCGTTCCATAAAACAGTGTGATTTATTGAAGAACAGCATCTGTTGGTGGGCTCTGATTCCATGGGGGTGATCGAAAAGAGTGTGCGATTCAAATGACCAAGAGGCTATTAGATGTAACTCAGAATCTGAATTGAAATCAATGTTGAACATATACTATTCCGAAATTTTCTACTTTCGAGAGTAATATGAAGTAACTAACGCTGTCTCGATTGTCTTGTATGGGTATGCCTTCCTATTTCATTCGGTTACTCACATATTTCGCTTCTATTCTCTTCATATTGTTGTTTTAATACTATGAGTGGCTAATCTCTAGATTCCAGTTCTATGTAAAAAATTCTTTTCAGATAAATGATAAACAATTCCGAGGGATTCTTATTAACAGTGTTCACAGTATATGCTTCCAACCTTACAGTCTGTCAACTCGTGTATTTTACCTATTCTTCTTTACTGTTCACCCTTACATATTCCTTCCTGGATTGCTTAAAAAAGACTATGTCATACTTTGTAGAACTCTGAAGACTGTCAGTCAGTAGGGCGAGTGGTATCCCATTGGGCCATATTGTTGACACTTTCACTGATAGGCACTTGATGTCATGCAACAAATTTGCTAAAGGAATTTTGTCAGACTCTGAGCAACAACTTTACCAGCAGCTCCAACCTTGTATCTCCTTATCAGGTAAAACAAGAAGTCTTTTTAGAAGACTTTATGCACGTACGTCTTAGTATAAAAATTCCACTCTACCTCATTTGGCAAGTACTTTATGCGATGAAAACAGCGTGAGACATGAGCTAACTAACCTTTTTTGTACTACTGAATAAACCATTTCCTCCACCCTTACAACATCAAACTTTATTGTTATTGTACTTCTTACATTTGTAATCTTCTCAAGTTTTTGTTTATTTTTTCATAAGTGCGAACATCATTTAAGCTGTGTTATAACTGTTGATTTTGTATTTCCCCTCACTATACTGTATCAGCAGAACATTAAATTCAATAATCTATAACATGTTAAAATTTCCAAACTGAATCGACAATGCTGTTTGAAACAAACTCACTGTTATCATTATTATTGTATTTAATATTCTCAATTCGTACTTCGAATATTTTTGACTTTATATCGTAAATGTGGACAAATTCCTCTGGTTAATTTTGTTTAAATTTTATTTATATTTTAAGTAAATCAGATGCAAGGTGTTGTGACAAATGCTAAGAATTCCATTCTGTATTATAAGTACTGTTTTTCGAATAAAGTAGATTGCTATTATTATTAATATTATTATTATTAAGATATTGTGAATAAATATAAAACTTGAGTTATCTGTCTTCAGTATCTTTTAGAGTTTTATTCAGAATTAAATGATAATAAAAGATAATGGATTACATAATAATCAGTACTCATGATCAATATTTAAAGTGAATTTAGCAGTACTAACTGTACTCGGCTAAACTTATATACACAGTTAGAATTCTTTCTAGTATTCGTTTGTAGACATTTTGTTTGATCGGTTGGAGGATTTCATCATTAGCTGACATAGGTTAGAGAACCATTGGAACACCGACAGGGAGTACTAAACATCTGTTTCGTTCTAGTTTGATACTCTTCAGCAGTACGTACCCATCCACCAATATGGTTCGAAGCCAGGATCTTCTGGTTACAAGGTGAACTCATGGACCACTAAGCCACTGGTCCATGAGATTTCCTTGTAACCAGAAGGTCCTGGGTTCGACCCCCTGTAGTGGGTGCGTAATGATGAAGAGTCTCAAACAAGGACGAAACAGTTGTCTTAGACAATTGTTTCTAGCAAACTCCTATGCTTTCTCTTGTGTTTGAATTATTCGCTACTCCGTATCCTTTAAGTATTTATTAGGTACATAGCAGACAATGCAAGAAGATCATTCTATGCTTGCTTTGAGGTCTATTTAGTCCAGATATTCTAACGCTGGATGACTAATGTTCCTTATCACATCTTTACTTATTTGAAAGAGAAGAATTAGGCTTCTAAGGTAAGTAGTTTGCATAGCTAACTTCATTTGACCGCCTGAAGTGGTAAGCACAGTTAGATGTTACTAACCTAGGTGCTTAAAGTTTCAAGTTCGACATCACAACTGAGCATGTCAGAAATACGAATGGAAATTTATTCTATCAATAAGAGATACTTAAATCTATTTCTTTAAGTTATTTTAATTAATATTATTCCAGAGTGTAGATATGCTTGTTAGTACACGCTTCACCCATGTTTTATACTTCTGACTACCTGATGCTTCTTTACGATATTATCTGCATAATTTGATCCTCAGTGTTAAACTGAAGTCAAGACAGAAGGTAGAGTAAACCTTTTCTATATCCAAATTAAGTTCACAGCTTATTTAACTTTGAATTATTCATATATGTCACTGGTGAACTAGTCGATCAATTTAAGATCATACAAAGAATCGAAAGTATGATAAACTGTGGACGACAACTGAACTGACAACTGTTTATTGACTGACTGTTCTGTGATAATTTGAATAGTCTAAATTAATTATTTCAAGATTACAGTATTTTTATGAATATCAAAATTGAAAATATCTCAAGGCTATTCCAATAATCTGTTCGAAGCACAGACGGAAGGTGAAAAACAAACAAAGAGTAGACGGATGCCTATAGGTAGCTTCTACCTTAAAGTTATGATCGGTCTTGCATATCGCATACCTCGAAAAGTTTTGAACGTTTACTCTGGTCACATCATATCAGAAAGGTTGGTTAGATAACAGACGGAATAAAAAAAATCAATTTTGCTTAGTGTATCACGACTGTCCTAGATCAATGGTTATCCGTAAAGCAGTGTATGACGGGCCTAAAGCACTTGTCCCCTGTACTCGCCGGTCAATCAACATTTTTTGTGTGTTACCTTTCAGATATCAAAGAAGAAGATCATCTCCTGTAGTATGGAGAGGTGTGAAGCAACAAACAAGCGCAAACTCTCATGACTGCAAACATTTTAGTCAGTCACACAGGTCTTAGAAACTGTAAAATCTGCAGTAAAAAACCATCCACAAAATATCACAGTATTCAGTACCTGATTGCTTGCAGAAATTCTCAATACAAAAGTCATGAAAATCATTCTGTAAATACTTGAAAGAAATGATATCAAGAAATAATTACAAATTATGGGAATTTGTGTATAGTTTATGCAATATGGTTTAAATACAGTAGATCATACACGACTGTTAGGAGTACTGCTTATCTTTTTAAAAATTGTAATCAGCAAACCATTCTGTTTGAAAATTGTACAAAACATCATCAAGTCTAGTTGACTATGGGACTAATTAACATTCTCCATGTAACGTAGACAACCAATGTGATGGTTGTGAATGGCTTCATTTTCTTAGCATTATTGCATAATTCAGTTGTACAACATCTCAGAATATCTCTTGCAGGAATTTTGCTAGTAATACCCGTACATGAATCTATACATCTTCGATATATGGAAATGTCTGGAACTCCAGCTTTCTAAATATCGAATATTAGAAATAAGAAGATTAACAGGAAGATGAAAAAATATTAGCTAGAAATTAAATGAACCGGTGATAATGAATCTGTGTATATGGACAAAATATTGACTGCAGCAACCCATGAAGAACTTCACGAAATGACTATCTCACTAGATAGGTGTGACTGCAGACGTTAGTTAGACTTGTAATGCATTATAGATACTGGTTAGTAATGTATTGTCTAAAATATATGTTACTAAAAGCATAAATTCTCATGACCGTGTGAATACTAATAACCTTATTAGATATTTTTTATGCATGAATGTAATTCACATTCTTCGAGTGATATACGACCGACACAGATAAGCGCTGATTTAAAACTCATAATTTTGGTAGGTTATATAATCACATAGGTTAGACCAGTGGATCGGGATCATTTAGATTATCGGAACACAGAAGTCTAGCCATACCTAGAATGATTGACCCTGATAAGCTATATAACCTCGAAAAAACCTTAGCCATTGCACTGAATTCACTTGCATGTAATCACACAACAGATTGTGTTAGGGAAGGAATATTAAAATGTAATATATTTAAGTGAAGGGAGGAGTTAATCACTGGATCGTTATTCATCGAACCAACAACGAACATGTGGAGTCGAAATGACACAATAGGAATACCGGATACATGGAGAATTATTGTAAGCAACAAGGGTGGGAGAGGGAAACATTTTAACATATCTAAAGCAAATAATGACGTTATGTGAATACATTGATATGATTATGAGGAATAAATCGTGCACAAAGCGTGATCCAGTTATCGATTCTGTATTATTGTATGTGATATCAAATAAATTTATATGATATTTTTTTTATTTTTGATCACAGCTTGATGCCACACCGTATTTTTGGTACAAGTATGGAATTTTCAGTGTGGATATCGGTAGCCCAAATTTCGCAGGCCGACCGTAGATATCGGGTGTGCGTCGATAAGGGATCGGACCTCGGGCTATGTGCATGGTCAGCGAGAGTTCTAACCACTGTGCCGCCAACGCACATATGAAACTACATTCTCCTACAGTGCAAAAATTCTACACTTACACCCATGTAGAACAGACTCTGAGAATGAACCTCAAAAGCTGAAATTATTTTTAATTAGTGATCAATTTCCAACTCATCTTGTAGGTAGGTGTCTTTGAAACGTATGACTTAACTTTTAAGCCATGAAAAAGGTGAAATCGTTATTCTTTCAAGTCCAAAACATTAAGTTCATAAATGTTATTAGCTGAAATTTTTTCATACATTAGCAGCTATTTACGTTATATTGAAATACAAATTTCCAGCTGGTGTTCTAATCCGCTTTACAAAGTGTGTTCATCATCATATTTCAGCTATGTACGACATGAATCCCCCTGGTTGGTTGTTTATTTTGAAAACTGCTTTATATTAGCTAATCAGTCATAAAAATGCATTCAGCTGGATGAAGAAGTTGTCAGAATGAATATTCCACGTTGAATCCCCTATTTTCTGTTTTATTTTAACGTTTAAATGAGAATTTTTGCTAATTTAAATTTTCAAATCTTTCTCTCTCTCTCTCTCACGGATCATATTGACTTCAGTGAGAACATCATCTACTATGCCACTATCTGAGAAAGTAAACTCAATTGTAGGCTTTCTTACTATTAATCTGAAAACTCAGTGATACGGGAAGTATAATTTACCTTGACAAACTAACTAAGCGCAGTGAAATTATTCGAATAGTTATTTCATGTCATGGTGAATTACCTTAAATATACATGCTGATGGAAATATTATAAATTCACTTCGCTATAGACTGTCCTCGACTGTGATGCTTAGACAAAGCATAAAATATCTTCTAATGGAACTCACTTTTAGGGTGAAAAAAGATTTCAGAAATTATCAAAGCTTTTCCAGATATCTAATATCTCACAGTTATGAGTGTGAGTCAGATAATTATATTCTAGTTAAATTACCGTTAGGCTCAGCAAGCATCGGTGGAGCAGAGGAGGAATTCTCGCCAACCACGAAGGTGTTTCGGGGTTCAATCCCCGACCGACACACTCCAAAGGCTCGCTAAGCCAGTAATAAAACTGGGAAAGAGGGAAAGCTAGGCATAAGGTTAACAACCCCATCCCGTCAAAACAAACACCACTGCCACCGAAACTTCGAAGTTCTAGCTTAAAGCCTTACGTTCCACTGCGAGCGTAAGGCTATAAAATTAAAAAAATAAGATAAATGAGCTCAGCAAAGATATTTTTCTGTGTGTTAGAGAACATTATCTAGCATGCATGCAAAGACGTGGCAATAGTTCATTAGAAGCTCTATAAGGTAACACCTCGTCAGCACCTATCACAGTATCCCATCTGAATCAACAGTCAGATTAATTTACAAAGAGAATTAAAATCTACTAAAGGCGGTATGCTCCTGACTTCCTTGTATTGAAGAAGCCCTCACCATATGCTTCAAGGAGTAGAAGCTGTGTCTTCACAAGAAAATAGTCCACCTCTATATTTACCATGGATTTCGTTTTGTCAGGGTTTCTTAGTTCTCGTTTTTTCTTCATTCCCTTCACTTTTCCATCTTCAGCTATAAAACCATTGTTTCAAATTCCTGCTGCGCACACGCCATCAACACCCGTCCTCATCAAAAAATTACTTTATGTATGAAGCAACTATTCACTAATCCCATAAAATTTGGTTTTAGTACTCCATATGATCTATATTCACACCCTCCTTTCGTTACTATGCTAGATTATATATCAATTGTAACTATGTAAACCTACGTATGAAAATGTGACTGTAGAGTTTTTAAGAATGAAATCGTCGAAAAGATACCTCTGCTAAACTTCTTATTTTTTTTCTCTCTAATGTCCATTTGGCTATTTTACCCGATTTAAAATTGTTGTTAACGTTCTCAATTGTCATTTTTAATTAAATTGTGATCAAAATATTATAACAGAATAGATCAGCAAGACTGAAAGATTGATGATGATTCGCAAACCTCACCAGTATTTAATGCTGACTAGCCCGAGCTTTGACTCGCTTTAAAGGCCGAGTGCAAGTAAGCTTAGTCTGTACACTATGGTGCTTAGTCTTTAGTAAGTATGTGACGCGCCTCCTAATGTAAAGATTCAATACCTCTGTAGAAATTATTTACACAACATTGTATTGTCGTTAACATACACTCATACGGTTTCTGATCATTTTCTGAAAATAATTCTTTTCTCTTTGATTGTGCGTCAGTGGCACAGTGGTTAGGACTCTCGCCGGGGTTCGATCCCCTGCCGACGCACACCCGATATCTACGGTCGGCCTGCAGAGTTTGGGCTACCGATATCACATGCTGAAAATTCCATACTTGTACCGAAAGTACAGTGTGGCATCAAGCTGTAATCAAAATATAAAATATAAATATTAAACACAATTAAAAATATATAGTCAATGACTTACAACACAAGCACCGCAAGTATCACTAGTTGTAGTAGCGTCGGTGACAGACAGGCAGTTGTCACACACATAACACTTTATGGAATAAACTAGAAAAATAAAGAAATAATTATGTATTTATTTTCAGATTATTCTAAAATTATCATAGTATTAAAGAGTATGAAAAATTATTTAGCTGTCATTTATTAGAAAAAGTGAATTCTAGTGAAACCTGCTCAACAAGCCTCCGGGTGACTATGGTCATATTTCTCAAAATGACCTAAGCTCCTTCTGTTACAAGGACAATGAATTCAATGGGAGAAACAAAAACGTTATTTTCCAAGGCATCTGTTATTCTAAGAATATACTCCCAGTAGCAACCGTCTTTTTATTAATTCCTATGATGCAGCGTGTAGATTCCATAAATTAGAATTATAATCGTATCATTCCCTTAGGTTCATCAGCATGTTTCTATCTCTCACTCTATCTAACCTCACCATTACCCAGTAAGTCCTAATTTCCTGCTCGCATGATCCCTTCCATTTCACTTTCTAGTTGATAACCAGCTCGTCATTTCCAATCCGGGTTCTACTAAATATTAAATGCAAGTGTTAACAATTAATATTCACTTACAAAGCACTTATATCATCTTATTTTGGTTTAGTCTAACATATAACTTTACTTGTTTTCATTAGCAGAATTTCAAGAAAGTATTCACATTTCTAGGATGTATTGCTTTCATTTTAGAGACATAAATTCTACATTACATCTGACTGTCTTTTCTTGACTACTGAACTTTTAAATTTTTATCTTATACATAGCATTTCTGAAACCAGTTGAATGCACAGATGAATTTTAGCCTATGATATTGGCGTCATCCTTCATGTTCATGCTCAGGGGACCAGAAAGTTCAGTATTAATTACCGTTGTAGAAACAACTCAACAAAACAATTTTTCACGAGCTGACATCATTTAGAGAACCATTGGAAAAACCACCTGGGAGTACTGGATAGCTGTTTCGTCCTAGTCCCCCCCCCACTGCCCAGTACTCTCAGGTTTTCCAGTGGTTCTCTAATTGATGTCATCTCATGCTGAAATCCTCCATCCAATCAAACAAAATCCCTGCAGAACTAATAGTTGAAAATGATTTTTAACATACCATCTTTGACAGTGAAACTCAACAGTAAAAGTAGCAGCCATGGAAATAAAGACATCTTCTCATATGCCATTAATCTACCACCAATATGCAAAGTTAAATGTTGATTTATTTGACTAATATTCACATGTTCGTTATCATTTTATATATATATTCTAACATTTAACCAATAGCATATCACTTGTTCTAACTGTTCTCTTAAAAGAAAATGACAACCAATAGTCTTAACTACGTTATACACGATTCATGATAATACATAGGTGGAAATTCTTTCCATCATTAACAAATCATGTTGTCAGAATAATCATATGAGAATGTCATTGTTTGCATAAAATAGCTGTACGACAACGGCACATGTCAAGTGATCCACAAAGGAAAACTCAGTGAGACGTTTGGAGTAATCACAGGAGTCAGACAAGGGTGCTTATTATCTATCACCAATGATATTCCTAACTGTGGTGGACTGACTGGATTATGCGTCAGACAGTGAGTGGGAAACGGGGAATGGGACAGGGATATCCTGGACCGACGTGAAAAACCTAGAAGACCTGGATTTCGCGCGTGGATGATTTATGTTTGAAGTGACAAAAAATCGAAGACTTACAAGCGAAAACCGACAAACTGGTCGAAGAAACAGACAGTGAAGACAGAATGGGTCACAAAGAATATTTCCAACAGCCTGTTGCAGACCTTCATCAACAACTAACTGTCTTTGCTGGCTGTTTACTGAAGATCAGATGGCTGGGCCGGAAAGAATCACCAAAAACAAGAAACTATGGGAACAAACAAACAAAACAAGAACCAATCGCCAACCAACAAATATGCAGGAGAAAGTGGAGATGGATTGGACACTAGCTGAGGGGGCCGCTGAGTGACATCGCGAGCGTGTTTGGTCATTGCTCGAGTGGAATCCGAAAGGGAAGCGGCGAGTGGGACATCCAAGGGTGACATGGAGGAGATCGTGTGAAAGAGGAGTTGAAACAATATGGACTAACATGGATGCAGGTGAAAGTACAGCAGAAGACAGAAGCAAGTGGAGGCGTGCAGTTGAAGCCTTATGTTCCACTAGGAACCCAAAGGAACAATAATAATAATAATACAGTCTCACTTATCGGGATTCTATTACGAAGTAATAAAAATTTCTATCACTGTTTCAGAGAAAGAATGCTAGCCAGTAACCCATTCGGATTGGTATACAACTCCAGGCTGATACACTCTGAAACCTCGCTTAGGCAGAAAGTAAGCCCAGACAAAAGGAAAAGTTGAGGGTGAGGATAGCAAGCGCATCCTGTGAAGACACCACAAGTAACGCTGAAACTTTGAAAATTAAAGCTTGAAGCTCCATGTTCCACTCGGAACACAGAAATGAAAAAAACCTAATGAAAACAGACATGTTGTTAGTCAAGAGAAGGAGCATTTTCAGGTTTTTTGGGGGCTATTCGTGAGCTGTCAATACTCTTCTGAGGTATGTACTATGTCCGTACATTTTTTTCCTTCACATTCGCCAGTGGAACATGGGGCTTTAAGCTAATGACTTGAAGTTTTTTGTAGCAGTGTTTATTTTACAGGATGGGGTTGCTAGCCTCATGCCCAATCTTTCCTCTTTACCAGCATTATTTCTGGCTTAGCGAGGTAAAGCAGTTCGTCTACCTGGGATCGAACCTGGGACCATGTGCATATCTGGCGACAGTCCTAATCGCTATGCCAACGTCCGTACATAGTTGACACAAATACATACCATTGTGTTTCATAAAATCAACTGAAATAATGTTTGGTCAGTTTACCACAGACTAGAATATCGAAACAGAAGCGAACTTGACTTCAGTCTATGCTGACAGAACCATTAAATATCTTAGAAAAGAAAATAAAAGGCAAGTGATTTATAGTTACAGTCGAAGTGAAACACACGTAAAACTATCACCACACCTAGCAATAAATTCAGCCACAATCCACTCTGAAATTCTACAATGGATGCCTTCTTTACCTAATACAAAGGCTTTTTAATATTTGAATTTAATGAAGGGAAAATGCTTTTGAATGTAGAGTTCTGGTTTTAGATTCCGAATGGCCAGTAATTCGCCTGTGTATAAGTGACGTATTAGGAGTTTTGTCGTGCAATGACGGAAAGAAGGTGAATCACTGTAACGCACTGGTTTTTTATTAACATTTTACCGTGTTCCACTAGCTTTCATCCACCTAAACTGTATAAACGACTTTTCACACTTATTAAGTAATTCCCACTTCCGTCTTTTACCGATCATTACTTTGTCATTCACTTCCAGATTGTACTTCAGATTACTTAACATACTTTCTAGAATATAGTCACCTACCAGCATCCAAGTTACTTTAGGAATTTTCCATTGAATATAAATGCAACTGTACAGCTCTTGATAATAATTCGTAGAAAAGGAAATTCTTCTCGATGAATACATAGCTTTTGCTGCTGCGAAAAAATCTCAATTATTATCAGTCGATGATATTATATAATCTAAAAACTATAATCTTATCTTCCAGCTGAGGATATGCAGTGACTCTCTGTATTCGATCGTCACTGCCTCCGTATAACTGCTTGCTTCCTGCGGTATCATCACTCAAATAATTCCGAAATCCAACAGTGCTTGTTCGGATATCGTTGATATCATAACTAAATCAGAGTTGTCATTTTGGAATACTGACTTCAATAGCCTAAATGAATGTTATCTCAGCGGCACCCAGATCCTAGGGTTACAACAGACGGCAAGACACGGAAGCCAACGTATCTTTTCAAGTGATGAAACCGCTCTTTATATATACACAGTTTTATATTCTCTAACGAATCATTGGTCGTGTGATTTTGGCTCATATTAAACGACATGAAATAGAATTTCAAAAAAACATAGTATTCTGTTGCTAAAACAGTATTGAACTCTGAGAATATGTTAGAATCATGTTCTCTTGGGACACATTGTCTGCATCACACCACACAGTAGGACTGGATAAAAAAGGGAAGATTATAAGACCCGTAAATTGACACTGAGTTATCAGGCGTAGCTTTGTTTGGTTAGCATCATGGCCCCCTGAATGTGGTCCGAGAGGCAATTTGAGTCACTGACTTGACATATCTGACGTGACTGACAATCGTGATCAGTGGCAAACATGCTGAGAGTTTTTATTTTTTTCTCTTTCTAAAAGTAGCATGAAACAATGAACCATTTTTTTTCTATGCTACTGATATTACGGTTACCTGATTTTTGGATGGCGTCCGTCATTCTACGATCCTTATATTGTCATTTCATTATATTCATGTGGCAGATCCCTCAGCACTCATATTGTATTAAGTTTATTTTTGGATGAATATAGATAAAATCATAAGTAATCTTCCCTGATAAGCACTCAGCATCACTAATATCTCATCCATAACTTAAATTCTGAAGGCACTGATTAAGAAAAAAGAGAGGCCAGAATGACCTTGACTGTATGCAGGAAGTTTTTGGTGAGTGATTCCTGTTGACAAAGTTTCGACCTTTTCTTGCTGAAAATATTCTTCCTTATTCTCAGCTACTTCTCTTGGTTGATTTTGACTAAATAATTGTGTTGTGTAGCACTTGTCTTGTACTCAAGAAGATATTGAATCTGCATAGCCGTTCAGCAGTATTGTTGATGCAATTCTGCCTTTTGATACATTATGAACGTTGAATAGTAAAGCAGATTTTATGCCAAACAACTCTCTTTTTGCAGTCGTTGGATCACTCTATGACTGTGAGTAACTGAAAGAAGCTTTTAGTCAGTTATTCAGTAGAACTTCAAGTGAACAACAACCAAGACCAATCACAATCAACGTTATAAATTTGAAAGACGTCTCAGCCTTCACTTATCTGACCAGATAGCATTGTTTCAACTACACAGGTGGAATGAATGCAGATGTAAAAACCACTCAGAAATAGAAAGGCAAGACAGACCTTCATCACTCTGCGGTCAGTTTCGAAATCGTGTGCACCCAGCTAGCATAAAAAACAAGATTCGAATTTTTAACACTACTGTTAAGTCAATAAGTGCTTCTATTTGGGTCGGAAACTTGACCTAAGATTCGCTAAAAACATTTCCAACAGGCCGGTGTAGACTTTTATCAACAGCTGCCTTCAATCCATATTAACGATCCGGTGGTCAGAAAGAATTCGTGACAAGGAACTCTGGAAATAAACCAACCAAGCACCTATTGATCAACAAATATTCTGAAGATAATGGAGGTGGGCCGAACACATGCTGGGGAGACCATTGAGTGATGTCACTAGCCAAGCAAATTACTCGAGTAGAACTCGAATAGGAAACGACGAGTGACTACATGGGGGAGATGAGATACCATGGGTAATAGTGGGTGAAGTTAAAGAGGACCGCTGAAAATAGAACAAAGTGCAGTCGTGATGTTGAAGCCTTATGTTATCTCGGAACCCAAGGGAACAATAATGAAATAATACATTAATGCAGTGGATTGCTTTCAGACTATAATGTAGGGTTTTAGTCACCACACCCATAACAAGTGAGCTCCTGCAACAAAGGAAGTTATCTTCGTCATACCAGGTCGTGCAGCTGACAGCTCAAAGACCACAGATAGATATCACCAGGGTTTGCCATGCCTCATTCCTTCATCTTGTCCACTAAACATTTGCCACCAGCGTCGACAAATAAAGAATGAATTTTGACTAGTCTTTTAAACACTGTATCGTTAAATTCTCCCGAAGATGCGAGGAAATATATATATGATCGAACTGTAGAACCCCTTAAAAATGTAGAACAGGAAGTGTTCCTAAGTTGATCTTTGCATACTTTGGATCATTCAGTCTGTTAAAATGTCTTAAGGACCACTAATATTCATATCTCTGTTTTTACTACGAATAGTAAATTCGTAGGGAAACCGGGAAGGAAATTAATATGGATATCACTTTCCAAGTTACCGCATAACTGCAATCCAAATATGCACAAAAAATTATAACTAGCCTAAACTTTTAATCTTTGTTGCTTAATAATATAAAAAGTAACCAGCATAAGCAGTTTGCGTGTCCGCGCAATAGACGTTAGCTCCTTCAAATTTGCTTAAAGATAAATTCAACCATTCTTGTGGAAAACGACCAT